GTGTAAATAAACACATTTTACATCGTTAATTAACCATAGTATTAATCAGCTTTTTTCACGGGGGAGAAGGAAAGACACCTCCTGTATCCAACTGAATCGGGTCGCCCGCGTGGCGCAGTGTTTAGAGCGTTTGCTGTACAGTCGCGGAGTAAGGATTTGATCCTCACGTCGAGGGTTCGATTTCCACTGCGGAACATGGAGACCGGTCCCTCGGATGAGACCGTATGAACCGAGGTCCCTTGTTGCAGTAGGTGCGGACACGAAAAAGTCTCTCACTGCTCAATGGTATAGGTCTAAATTTGCGTGGTGACGTCTCTATATGAGTGAAAAATTCTCAAGAGAGACGTTAAACAACAAACAAAGAAACAAGTGAATCGGTTTATTGTCAGATGAGATGATTTCTGACATCTTTTCCTAGTAAAACTTGTTATTAGTATTACTCAAACTTTTTTCTGCTTAATTTTTGTTATTTAGTAATAAAACATACATGTAAATCTTATGTGCCTTTAAATATATGAAATGTGAAGATTACGAAAGTGATCATTCCCAAAGGTCCATTCAAACAATACAAATTATAAGCAAGGACCTCTGAAACAGAAGTGGGATCAGGTGCCATGGAAGAGTAAACATCCCCTATATTTTATATTGCATATAATGTATAGTATGAATGATTGTAGTGATCGAGACACGTAAATTGTGAAATATTTGTGTTTGAATTCCCTCGCTTTCTACTGAACATTCATGTATATATTTTTTTGATTCATCAAATTGTGTTCATAATCATCTTCATTCTATAGATTAATATAATATGTACGTTGATTCTCTTTCAGTAATCGCATGTTAATTGTAAACAATGACCAAGTAAACTACTGAAGATGTTTGGTATTTCCTACTATTTCATGTTTGGTAAATGACCAAGTTTCCCACGGTTTGAAATAAGGACTGTTAAAACATGGATTCTAAATATATAATCATACGGCTACCAGCTTTTATCATATTTGTTACATATAACTTACATATCGTGTAAATTATTCGTATATTACCTGCCAACCACATTGATCTCCTTTTTGGTCATGGCATATTGAGATTCTTATTTATAAGAGGGATGGAGGTTTTTGCACTTTGTACACTTATTGAAAACCTCGTTGATTTATCATTGTTACATTCTACGCAAAATGTATTGTATACTTAGAAGTGTCTCACTTTCATTGTTATTTATTATATATTTGCTATATGGTTGGGCGTCACATAGATTTTTTTTTCATAATGTATTCTATCACCGATAAGGTAAGTATCGTCTGTTATTTTCCTTTTTGGTTTGGTTATCCGCACTGCGCATGTCCGGTAGTATACCCTACATAAAGTTGCCAAGGACGCTGAACTTTCAGTTTCGACTCTGCAGAATGCCAGTTCGACAACAACTAGTATGTAATTACTGTATTTATGGTAAATTTACAGTAAAAAATCAACGTATCAAGGAGTTTAATCATAACTTCCATTGACCAAGTTGATTTATAGAGGAACCCAACATTTATTATAATTATATTCTACAGCAATGTGACGCTCGACCTGACCAACTGTATTACATCGTCATCGTTTACTATAGTAGTTATTTTAGTCATTCAGGCATCTAAATTCTATTTATTCCGTTATTAAATTATTTTTGAAACTTAAAGTGTCTTCTGTTGTATTCTTATTTAATTATACTGACCAGCACAAGGATTACCGTGAGATTAACCATGCATTGGTTACACTGAAAAAAAATATCCTTCATTGGATATTGATGAACCGAAGACTCAAAGAGCTTATGGTATGGTCATTTGTGCGGTGTGCCTCAACTTTTTTGGAATGTGGGCCATAACTCAAGTACCCCTTGGCTAATTTTTTTTTATCAAGTTTGTGTCAAAGTATCCTTGGCTCAAGGGCCTTCATTTATACTAAAATATAGCGGCGTGACCCTCTAAATAATGGGAGAAAACTAGGAAAATAAAAGTGAAAGAAGTGGCTGCTACAAAAATTCTTATGCTCATAAGTAAGTCACTGTGACCTAGTTTAGGACTTTCACAGTCTCATCTTAATATTTAAATTAATAAAAGGTTTAAATTAATCAAGTTTTGTCAGTTGATGTGTGATTAGAGTGTCCTTCTTTTAGAATTTCATTGTTGCATCTTTTAAATATTTAGGATATTATGAGGCTAAGAATTAACAGACATTGTTAATTGACTCACTTGGGTCCTCGGACTTAATCAACCAAAAATAGGTCACCGCGACCTACTTTTGGAACTCATAAAATGAGACAATTGATGCATCTTCAGTTCTCTAAGTTTTTAACCAAAATGTAGGTCACGGTGACATACTTTTGGAATTTCACGGCTATATCTAAATATTTCGGATAATAAGAGAAGAATCATCAAACGTCAGTTGATGAGTCATTGGTCCTTGGAGTGTTTTAACGAAAAAGTGGGCCACCGTGAATTATTTTTAAATTATTCAGTTTTATCTCAATATTGAGGATAATCAAAGGCTTAAAATCGTCCAGTTTTGTCAAATAAAAAAGATAGGTCACGACTTTTAGAATTTCATAGTTGCATCTCAGTATTAGGAATGCTAAGAGGCTTAGACGCATCAAACTTTCTTGGCTGACTTACTTGGATCTCATGCAAAAAGTAAATCACCATGACCTACTTTAGGAGTTTCACAGCTACTGGGGGTATATCTAAATATTTCAGATAACAAGAGGCTTAGAATCATCAATCTTTGACAGTTGATGCGTCTTAGGTTCTCAGAGTGTGTTGGCAAAAAAATGTATCAAATTGACCTACTTTTGGAATTTCAAGACTTATATAAATACATGTATTAAGGATTGTAAGAGGCTTTAACTAAAAGTGACAGGGTTGTACAATTTATAAAGAGCAATTCTAGGCCTTGTGCCTGTTGTATAGGCAATGCCGGTGTAACGTGGAATTTTGACCTGGGTTGAAAACTTACCCGGGGGTGGTGGTCTTTTTTCAACGTTGAATATTGAGACCATCAGCGTTGAATTTAGACCCTAGCCTGTTTAAAATTGAACCGGATCGTTGAATTTTGAATCATTAAACCCGGTCAAAATCCAACAGCATAAAACACGTATAAAAATAAAGTAACGTTTACAATTATTTATTAAAACATTACAACTTTAGTCCTTGTATATTGTTAAGACTCTCCCTTCCTTATTCACGCCAGAGTTAGAAAACGTGATGCCTAATTCTTTCTTCTTTTTTTGTTATTCAATAATTTCAATCATTTCTCATTCATTTTTCAATAATTCATTATAATATACAAAACTTCTTGTCGTCTTACGACTGCCAAAACACATGAAATGAAATCGGAAATGACAATGGCATAAGATCTATTTAAAATACTATAGATCTGAAATTTTGTAATCTTTCTCTAGGAAATGAAATAAGTCATAAGGAAGTAGTACATGTAGCCCTTCCCACTTTAGTTAATTAGTTTAAGTACGGGTTCGATCAACCGACTGAATTTTCTTTACAAAATATACCGGTATACGTAATTTTCAACCAAAATGAAAAAACGTAAAAATAACTAACAGTGAATGATCTCAAAATTCTCTAAAACAGTACAAATTTGTAAACAGGACATAAAACACGGACCCCTGGAAACTCCAGAGATTGAATCGGATGCCTAAGACGAGTAAGCATTCCCTGTCGATCGGTCACACCCGCCTTGAGCTCTATATACTGATCAGGTAAACGGAGTAATGTAGTACATGTATTACATTACATGGATAACATAATTGTAAATTACTTCAATTTATTTGTTATAACAATCATATAGTATATTCATTGTGTTTGTATAATAAGGAAAGAATCTATCAAATTGAAAGAACTTGTAACCAATCCTTTTGAATATATTATACAATAAAATATGATCAAATCAAGGAAGGTAGTGCAGCATCAGATTTATTCAGATCATGTCTCCCGGGGCTAGGGTGGGGTCACAATAAGGGATTAATGTTTGACATAGAAAATATACAAAAGAATCTTTAAAAAAATTTCTCAATAATAGCAGGGTTCTTACTGATCATAGGAATATAAGCAACCTCAAGAAGTCAGATCAAGCTATTTTAATCAGGACCCCAGGGGGGAGGGGTGTGGATACAAAAAGTCTGCTTTGGAATAACCATTTATAGAAAATCTTTAGAGAACTTTGTTTTAAAAATTTTCGGGAAATTATTAATTATATTAATATGCAAGCATCTTCAGGTAGTGCCTATTAAGATTCTTTATATCATGGTCCCAGTGGGTTAGGATAGGCCGTTATGGGATTATTTTTTTTACTTGAATATAGAGAAGAAAAATTCTGTTCAAGATAAACAGGGCCACTATGACTCAGGTGAGCATTGTGGTTTTAATTGATAGGTCCTTAACAATCAAAAACACAACGTCAAATGTACTTATACACGTATTTGTGTTCGCTGGTGTAAGATGCCACGTGCAGTGCTCCAAATTTCAAGTATTATAAATTATAAAAAATTTCCACGAAGATCAGATTTTTTTTTTACCTTCCTATGATTATAGCATTTGTTCTTATATTGTTTTAATGAAAGCAATCATAACACTGTTTAAAGACGAAATAAATTCGTTGAGTGTTGTGTGTATGAAGTCTCTCGGTACTATTTTGTTTTCCGACATGCTCGTCACAGGCACCTGACGTTACTTATTTTTCTTTTAATAAAAAAAATATACCTCCTACCTAATAATATACACGTGTATTATTAGATAGGGGTATATTTTTTTTAATTGAAAGAAAATAAGTAACTTCAGGTGCCTGTGATGCTCGTGTAATGCATGCTATCTCGACACACCTGTGTTTCTTTCTCTAAAGTCATTTTTTTGTAAATTAAAAAAAAACAAGAAACGAAAAAAAAAGAAGAGACATACTATACTACGACAAGTACATGTGTTCTCAGCAGATTCGGTCAAGGGCCGGTCGCCATTGAAAGTCAGCAAACTTTAAAGAATTAGGACACAGAAGAAAGAAAGCTTGCGTAAGATTAAATGCTGTGAATCAGCTAAAACACTGTTTGTAAACTTCTAGGTATCTGTAATAGGTTTGATATATTACGTCAGCCTGCATGTATTTTAATTCTAAATCCACAAACGCAGTTTATACATGTAACAGACGGTTTATAAATAGGCTAGGGACGGAGGTACTCTAGATTTTGGACACTTTCGACACATTAACATAATGATTGATTTTTGGACTATTTCCCTGGCAAGTGTGGTTGTATTTTTATTTATATGGTGGCGGAAAACCACTCGAGATTCTACTCTTCCCCCGGGACCTCCGACTGTGCCATTTATTGGAAATCTCCTAAGTGTAAATCCACATACGTTACTGGAGAAATTTGAAGAGTACAAAAAGAAATATGGCGACGTGTTCAGTCTGGTCACTGGTTCCAAGGTACTTGTCGTTGTAAGTGGATATGATACCCTGAGGGATGTATTCATAAAACATGGAGATGTTGTATCCGAAAGACCAGACATCTTTCTGACAAGGGAAATTGGTAAAAACAAAGGTATGTGTATGTACAATTGGTAAATATATGAGAATTTATGTAATTTCATGTTCTTAAATTCAACTTTTTAAAATAATTTTATGTGTATGTTGGAGACATAACAGTTTAGAAGGTATTATTGAACTGAATGAAGGAATGAGTGGAATGTTTTGTAAAATAATGACAAATCATTGTAACATTTAAATACTCTCAAATCTAAGTTTTGCTTACATATAAATGTATGCAGGAGGAAGAAGATGATATTTAACTGTGTTTCTGAGTAGTTTGCCAAAGTTGAGGGAGATCGGTCTAGTTTTTGGCCTGCAACTTTGTAAGTCAACAACTCTATCCTTCCTCATAAATTTTGGTGTTGACAACATATAAGAGATTTCATAAGACAAGATTGTTGTCAAAAGATTTTCATGTCCGTGGCTAAGGTCATTTGGACGAGGTTAAGTTTACAGAAATTCTTCTTCCGTCCATATCAGTAACGAACGACAGAAGCTCATGATTTGTCACTAAGTTTGGTTAAATGAGTGAAGAATATACACTGTACCATGAGCAGAGATATTTCTGTTTTTATGTTGTCTTGTTGTTTTTTACGTTTGTTTTTATATGACATTGAAATATGATGATTACTTTATCCAAGTAAGTATATGTTTTTTTTTTTTTTTTTTTTTTTTTTTTTTTTTTTTTTTTTTGTTTGTTTGTTTTTTGTTTTTTTTTGCCAAGCATATATTTTCTCTCTCATTCAGATTATCTAAATTTTATCTCTCTCATGTAACACTTAGGTTTTCAAAATCTTATTTACGTTTTTTAAGGTGTGTCAACTGCTTCTGGGGCATTATGGAAAGAACACAGGACCTTCACTTTAAATGCACTGAGGGAATTTGGGTTCGGAAAACGAAGCTTGGAGTCCAGAATCATTGAAGAAATAGAAGTATTCATTGAAGAAACTACTTCCAAGAAAGGAGAACCTTTTAACATTCATTACTTGATAAATGTCTGCATCTCCAATATTATGTGTTCTATCGTCTTTGGTCATCGTTATGACCATAGCGATAAAAACTTTCTGTCTTTGTTAGATAAGATTAACCATAATTTGAGCAACGAGAATCTACTTTTTATTGCAACCATATTTCCGTTTGTAAGATACATCCCAGGAGATCCTTGTCGAATAAAAAAGGTCTTGTCTAATGTTGAAGACGTGGAAAACCATCTTCGTCAAATTTTGAAGGATCACGAGAAAGAGTTTGACGAAAATAATCCAAGAGACTTTATTGATGTTTATATGAAGAAAATGAAATCGGAGAAAAATAATCCAAACACAACTTTTGATGGTAAGACATTGATCAATTTTGTACTTAAGTTTACTGTATTTGTATTGGTATTCTGATAAAATGCTGTCTACTTCAGAAATAATCAAACAGTAAATGCGACCCTAGACTCGCAGCTTTGTCCAGATTTAAAGCAAAAGCTTAAAAATATGTTAATATATTTAATAGAAAAAAACATTTCTTTTTTAGAGGAGCAATTGTTAAAGATTCTTGGTGAACTTTTTGTGGCGGGTACAGAGACAACTTCAACTGCTCTTCGATGGTTTTCCCTATTTATGATTCGACATCCTGATGTGCAAGATAAGATGCGCAAGGAGATAAATGACGTCATTGGTTCTTCACGATACCCAAATATGGAAGATAAACAAAATCTTCCATATTGCGAGGCAGTAATACACGAAGTACTCCGCATCGGAGCAATTGCTCCAATTTCTGTTCCTCATGGACTGACGCATGATCTTCCTTACAAAGGTTTCACAATTCCAAAAGACGCTCTTCTCATTCCCAATTTGTATTCTGTCTTCTTTGATGAAAAAATATTCCAAGACCCACATGTTTTTCGACCTGAAAGATTCTTGGTTGAAAAGGGAAATCTTCAGAACACCGAGAAAGTTTTGGTATTCTCGCTTGGTAAGATCTGTTGATCATTTTTCATAAGATAAAAGAATTAAGGCGCCTTTGATTTGGATTCAGCTGGAATTTAGGCGCATTTGAAGAGTGAAAATTTCATTGACCCATCATAGAATATTTTAACATTACATTTATGTATCGGGTTCATGTTTTATATATGAAAGGAAATATTTTTCCGATATTGTGTTTTGATTTGCTAAAATATGCCTTTAAATAGATAAGTCCTATGGTACAAATTAAACATTTTAAAACACTTTTCTATATATTTCATAAATGATTCGTACATGATTCCTGTAGATTACACGTCAAATACGCCCGTCTTCTTCATGACTATATAATAAAATGAGCAATCACATAAATATGGATAGTTATCCAAAGAAGCTGTCCTTCGAATAGGGGGGAAATGTAAATTTGATACACTGCACTTGAAACGTTTTCAACCTGAAATTGCTTTTTTGCAGATATTTTCGATTATACTTGTGGATGTACATACATGCTTGTTGTTTTTTCAAGGACAATGAATTTATTTTATACATAGGTCGACGAGTGTGTTTGGGAGAAGCTTTGGCAAGGATGGAATTGTTCTTGTTTGTGACATCAATGATACAGAGATTTAAGCTTCTGCCCGAGGATCCAGATCATCTGCCACCAGTAGAAGGCGTCCTCGGAATTACTTTTGCACCAAAAGACTTTGTATTGAAAGCTGTTGACGTTTAGGACAACATCATGTTAACGAAAGCCGTGTATGATAATGCCATAACACTTCTATTCAATAAAATCCAAAAATATATGTCAATATTATCTTTGGGGTCTTCGGCTAGGTTCATAGAGGTTAAATCTTTTCGCAAAAAACGGTATCTGTATGCACAACGTTTCAACGTTTACAAAAACAGAACTGCAACGTTTACAAACACAAAACTGAAAAGAACAACAGCTATAAAGGCATTCCTAAAGATGGAAATTTGAATGACTTTCAGAGTTTTTGGTCTAGAATTTCTCTTCCTCAACATTTTCAGAAACATTGATTATTAAAAACCAGTTTAACAACAAAAGTTCCCTCATTCTCTTATCAAAAAGTTCAATTTTAAAACCAGGCGCAGTTCCTATTTTTTATGCGTTGATTGATATATATTTGTTTCATGGAGATCCTTTATATTTTAAAAAATAAATTTGTAACATTTATGCACAAAATAAGTCATATTTTGTAAATTATTATTGGGGGGGGGGGGGGATGATTACACACCTTACAACGATGTTTTAATTATGATTATCAATTTTTACACCATAAAATTTTATACATATTTTTTCTTGTTTTATAGCTGTTTTGTTCGGATAATCTTTAATATTTCCACATTTTCCAGTGTTCTAGACTACATATATATATATATATATATATATAAGGCCATCTCTAAAATATTGTTTGGTTGCCCTCTCCCGACTCATGGTGAAGGAATTGGGTCATTGGGTAGCTGGGAATTTTTTTCTAGAAAATTTAAACATACATATTGACGGAACGAGAAAATTCAGGAATAAAAAGAAAGAAAAAATATTGTTTCCTGCAAGTTAAAAAAAAAGTTTTGAGTCGGGCATTTTTAGCCAGTCGGTCGGGAGAGGGGAAACAAACAAACTGACCTAACAAATATTTTTTTTCTACTTTACAATGTTTAATATGATTAAAATCGAATTAATTTACCATGGTGTCAAATAGTGTAGTATAAGTTTTTTTTCCCTCTGGGTTAAGGGAAAAAAAGAGAGGTAATACAGATCATCCAGTTGAATCAGTTTACTTTTAGATTGTCAGATGAGAAGGTTAGGTGGGATTTTTTGAATATCAATGACACTAATTATAGTTCACTATTATTATATTGTCAATGGGTTGTATTTCAACGTGTGAATGTCTACAAGATCTCATAAAAGTGTAATAAATAGGTTGTTAATATTCCGAGTACATCAGTGCATCTAAGACTGTTATAGTAAAGTGTAACTTGATAAAGTCTAAACTTTTAATGTAACACATACATCAATGCCATATTGATTAAAATCTCAACTATTTAAAGAGAATTCAGTAAGCGAAGAAAATTAGAAATATTTAATGTGTACTTGAATGAGACCATCAATGAAGGTTATGAGATCCATTCACAAAGCGTCGCGGCATTACTTATTCTTTCCATTAGGAAATACAATCCAGTAAAAATACAGTTCCATTATATGGAACATATTTTACAAATTACATTTTACTTTCGGTTTTGAGAAATATATATGGATTGTTTTATTTTAATCAAACCACACGCTTTGAGTAAAAAGAACATTTAAGTGGGGTGAATAGTATTAATTTCTTGTCACAAACTTCAAAAAGATAACAGGTAATTTGAAACAGAAACGGTAGGACCCAGATGCATCATCCATGCAAATTTCATCACCATAGGACACGAAGTTACTTGGGATTTAATGTAGGTCAGATCCAACATCCGAACCAAGTGTGGTAGTGTGCATTCCGAGATGCATCCTCTATGCAAATTTGCTTAAGCTAAGGCTTCCAGTACTTCTAAATGAAACCGCTCAAAAATCTTTAGCTTGATCATTCAACCTGAAAATGTAAGTCAGATCATGCATCCGAATCAAGCGTGGAATTGTGCATCCCTCGATGCATAGTCCATACAAGTGTTACGCCGACAGCGGGCAATGTCTTAAGAATGTGAAATTCGTCTATCGTTTTGAATTCATCCGTAGTAGCTATAAAGTATTTTGAACATGCTGTCATACAATCCCTAGTATATGACTTTCGAGCTTTGCTGGACGCCATTAAAATGCTATCAATTACAACTATCACTGTAAATATTTGCCAGTTTTTTTTTCTTCTTTTTTTTCATTTTGTACCTTACACATAGATTTCATATATACATTTTTCGTAGCATAAAAGTTGTATCCAATCAGTCCAACAATCATATTTTCTGATAATAACACCACTAGTTTTCAATAACAAATGGATGTACAAATGGAGAAATCCCAATATAAAAATTGGCTTATTATGCTACAATGATATTCTTATGAACATTCACAAGTAAATAAGAAACTCGGGTATAGTGTCTTTCAAACACTGGTCTTCACAAATGACCTTGTACAATTCTAAGTATTCATCCCCAATAACACGTAGACGTACAAAAAGGTCCATGATTTTAGCGAAACGTCGTCCTTTGTCCTTGTGATGGGACGTTTGTATTGTCAACTCTAAAGTGTCCAATAGTCTTTCTTGAATATTTTCAACTTCCTCAGGAGAGCCCAATTCACATCTATCTGTAAATGTCAATGAAGTATTGGTTAAAAGCTTCTGTTTCTTTAATTTTTTAATCCAGGTAGTGCAAAGAAGGTACCGTCTCTGTCATTGAATACCTGTGGTAAACAGTTGAAATGAACACGTTTTATAAAAAGTTGACTTAGAAATATTTATAATAATAATATGTACCTCTAAAAGTCACACAAATTCCAAGAACCAAAGCATGTTCCTCAGGGCTTAATTTAAGCTTTTGAACTTCTTTTGAAAATTCTCCCCACCGCAGAATCGTTTCTTTGGGTGTGTATGGACACATTTCGCATAGTTGCATTACCTTACCAGTGTATGTTATTAACATCTCTTTTTCTAAGTCGATATTCCTATTATCCAGAATGGTGAAAAATTCGAAATGAGATGCTGAAATGACAGTGCAAGATATAATCGTATAATTGTGTCTTCACTCTTGTATTTTGTGCAGGAAGGTTTAACACTTAAAGTCAGTATTATTTTGCTTAAGTTATTGGAGAAAACACCTTTTAAGATAAGATCGTTTTGATAACAAATTGTGAAGCTAATGCTCTAGATTCTTTCTATAAATGCACAGAAACTAATCACCTTTGAGCAATGCCTCCTGATCTTCGAGACGCAACTCAGTGAAGGATGGAATATTCTTAGCAAACTTCACGAAGTCATTCGCCATTTTCATAATGTCGTCCTTTCCTTCAGTAAACAGTTTCTTCCGGCCATCTACATCTATTTGTGTTTTTTCATATATTTCGTTATACTGGTCTGTAGGTATGTATTCCATCTTGCCAAAAAGTCTTATTTTCTCCAAATATTTATTCTGAAATATATATCCACAGTACACATCGTAAAAAATCCCTACATTGGTCTGCTTTTAGCGTTAATCCCGTTTAGGGGGGGGGGGGTAGGATTCAGAAGCAGATCCAGCGTGGTGGGGTAGGAAGTTAGGCGCCCCTTCCACTGAGATTTTCAGTTATTAATTTAGAGAGCAAAGTAACCAAAACAAGACTTTGGTGGACATTCCCAAAGGAAACACGCACTGCTCGTTTGTATGTAATAAAATCGACTTTCTATAAAGTGTCCAAACATGCCGGGTTAGGATCCGATTTATCAATGAAATATGGTGATAACAAACAGTAATCAAGCTCAAAAGTCCATTGAAACAAGAAAAATCGGGAGCAGAGCAAGGACCTCTAAAAAACATCAGAGATGGGATCAATACAATATATTAAAAGTAAAGACTAACTTTTAAAATTTATTTACATGCATTCGTTACTAATATAAACTCAACCTGGGCAACTGTTGGACATGACCCAAGTTCTAAATCCTGGACGTTAGGGGACCCACAGCTTTGGTACATCCTAGCATGATCTCCCATTAAAACAGTTTGTCTGCTTGGTATCAATGAGTAAAGAAGATGATATTAATAAAGATAAAATATGAAAATAACAAACAGTAATCAAGCTTAAAAGTCCATTGGAACAATAAAAATTTGGAGCAAAGCAAACACGGACCTCTAAAAAAACATCAGAGGTAGGATTAGGTGCCATGGAGAAGTAAGCATTCCCTATCGACCGGACACACCAGTCATGTGCTCCTTGTCATGATCGGGCAAACGAAGAAAAAATGTAGACAATTCAGTGTAACTAAAAATAATGGCCTAACAATATGTGTGAAAAACATCAGTTAACATTCGACTTAACGACAGATTGTAGTTGCTAGCAAGGTCATTGTATCGACCACAGAATTTGCGAAATATTGACTTTAAACGAGACTGTTGATATCCTTTGTATCATCAACTTATTTGAAAATAGCTTGCCTCGTTTTAGAAATTGTTCGTACGAAAAACATGCTCTTGCGTATCGAGACATGAACTCCATATGCGGGCGATAACGTTACACTGCTACATAAATAAGTGAAGTTGATTGAAAAATCATCACGTTTATCAAAAAGTTAAAGTTGTTAGTTTACAAGAACCCTGAAATATAAAGAAATCGTAAGTTTTATTTGGTGCTTAGATAAGCAACTTTGTATCGTTTTCTACGTAATTCTACACAAAATTTTGCACATATTTTTGACATTGTGACAAAATCTTATAAAATTCTCCCACTTTACCCAGAAAATATCATTCAGGTTACCTATTTGACTATTAATCTATGAGAAATATCGCTGATTTCTGGAAAAAAAAGTTTGTTCGTGTTATTTATCCTTAAAGTCCGCTTTAGATCCACCCAAGAAGACAAATACGGAATTTCCATTAGCATATTGATTTAAACTTCCCTCCCACCTTTACGCGATTTTTCGGATTGTTGAAGCAGTGGATAGAATTTGACGCGAGATTTTTTACTATCTACACCTGTGATGCACCCTTTTGATTACAGCGTCTGTAAGTTGAGAACTCGAAAGACTGACCAAAGAATGAATATAGTTGCAGGGAATTAATTTCACGGAGTTTCAGACGAAAAAACAAGTTGATGTGACTGACCTTGAAAATTCAAGATGGCGGTGATGTATACCTTGTGAATATATTAGGTATGAAGTTATATATTTTTTTTTTCAATAAGAAAATATGCCTATCTGTGTCTTTCTTTTGTTAAATATCTATATATGAAACGGATGTTTCAGACTCTGTGGTGTCTTTTATCTCTAGTTCAAACGGATATATCGAATCAATGTAGGAATGAAAATTAATATTGTTAATTGATAAAATGTCGTCTATATATATAAAAAGTGTAGAATTGAAGGTAACAGCAAGAGACTTTTCCTTTTTATGTAGAAGTTTATGAATAAATTCTGCTCCATATGAATACAAAAACAGGTCTGCTAATAACAGGGTGCAATTAGTACCTATAGAAATTCTAACAGATTTTTTATAAACCTGACCCCCACCTCCACCCCCCAAAAAAACATAGATATTGTCAATCAGAAACTCAAGCATCTTGTTAATATCAATTTCGGAGTAATTGTGTGTAGAATCAGAATTTTTTTTTAATATGTTCCATTTTTTAATGCATGACCAAGGCAACTAGAGAGCAATTTGCCATGGTCACCTGATTCAGGTGTTATAAATTTTCTAAAATAGTGTCTGACTGCTGATGAACAAAATTCAGAGCCAACAAAGTGTGTCTTACCAGTCCTTCTTGTAAGATATCCTGAATTTCTTGATCGGTCAAGGACTTTGTAAATGGCTCTAGAAGGTTATATCCGACCATGACTCTCTCCAAAATATTTCTCGATTCATCTGGCCATTGGATTGAATACTCTTGCGCACTGTCAGTATCATGAGTAATTGATGTTCTTTCTACTTCCTCTGAAAGATCATTGATAGTAAAACTATGTCGATCATTCATATTGTTATTTTGAAAAGGTGACCTTGAGCTACTTTCGGGGGATAAAGATGATTGATTGTCTGAACTCTCTGTTTCCTCTGAAGATTTCTCCTCTTCTTCAAAGGCACAATTAGAGGAAGTGTAAACGCTATAGACCTGATCTTCGTGGTTGGGTAAATTTTCATCAAGAAAACCGTTGACTCTCATATTTTCATCACAAGTCTGACTTCGAAGTTTGTGAACCTCTAGTATTACATTTGTTCTTTCTGTCACTGTGTAACGCCCTTGACGTATGCCTAGTGTAAACAAATATATACATTAAAAAAACAAAATAAAATAGAATGTTTAACACTAAATGTCCAAAGTAAAAATTTACAGCTTAACTTCTATCCATACCTTCTTTAGACATTCCGAATTTTCTGCACTTGTCTAGACGACATGCAGGACATGTTGCTCCTCTCTGCTGTTCAGCCTGAATTTGACACTTTCCGCCTTTGTCACACTGGTATGGGGTTCTTCTCAGAAGACTCCTCCGGAAGAATGTCTAACACAGAGTAAACATTGACATTGACATAAGGTGAAAATTCAGTACAGTATTAAGTATTTTAACTTGTCTATGCTGGTGGATTTATAAATTAAATTAGATTGGGTTTTTGCAGCAACTTCAGAAACAATTCTAGACAGCCACACTTTTATTCAGTACATATTAAATACATGTATATGCAAGCGATCAAAAGTTGAAATGGCAAAATCATATGAATGTGTAAACATTTTAAAAATGAACCAATTCCGCTCTAGCTATATAAAACATTGTCGATTACCTTACATGCCTCACAGCTGTACACACCAAAATGGATTCCGGTAGATCTCTTTCCACAAATACGACAAGATGGGAATTCCAGTGGTTCATGCGTAGTGCTGTATTTCTCTCTTTTCCTGCCTTTGCGTTTTACTGAATCCAAGTTACAACTGATCCCTGTATTCCCAGTGCTTGAAGCACGATCCATTACTTTTGTTTCATAAGAGAAAACACCTATCAGTCAAGATAAGACGTAAAAGTTTCCGAGAGTCTTTAAAGGTAGGATTAAGTCATATGTTTACTCTCGGTGAATTCTACTTTAATTCAAGTTTTAGCTTAGTAACTCATCTTTTCATCTAGGAGAATAAACATATTGATTGAGCAGTATTTAAATTCTCCATTTTTTATTACGAGATATTGGAAAAATAAGTTTTTGATTTGAAATTCTATATTAAATATTATCTCTCGAGAAGTATATAAATATATAAAACCGATTTTTTGTAGAATTATCTGATCCGAAAACTTAAAGTATTGTGTTCAAAAATCAAAATAAAATGTATAAGACATGAATATCAATATAATTAAATAGATAAATATATATACAACTCCATATTATACTTGGTTCATTATAACGACGACACAATACATACCTGTTGAGTACATTTAATCAATGGTCCACGATTTACCCAACTCCTCCGCATTGATTTCGCAATTAAGTCAGTGCACAAGGTGTGTACATTGTTCGTACCATAAATCCTCCGTTTTAGTTCCTTGTGTGACCTTTTCAGTAAGTGACTAATACATGTAATAAAAAGTCTGTGAAAATATCCTCAAGTCAATATGACTTTCTTACTTTACGTATACGCGTCCAATTCAAACCGGTTATCTACGGTAAATGTAATTAAAATCGATTTTTAGGGTGACCGAGCGACTCCAAGCGGAACCTCGGTCGATGCCCTTCATATTAGCAATGTTTTGTGTGTCATTATCTGCACAACTCCCACCCAATTAACTGAAACAGAATACCCCGAACGAATTTAAATATTTAGGTGTTATATCATGTCTCGTAGTGGACTGTTCCGAAGTGCAAAAGCATATGGTGTACTTAGAAATATAAGATACTTTAATTTGCCGGTAGATTGTCAAATAGATCTCTTTGATATCTAGTTATATATAAGCCCGATTCTGATATACGGATGTGAAATATGGGGTTACGAAAACTTAGATATTTTAGAAAAGGTACACTTAAAATTTCTAAAATTTGTTTTACATGTTAATTCCAGTACCCAAAATTTAAAACAATAACAGGGAAATATTACACGCTACTTGAGCGATATAGCACTGTCCTGGTGTATTTGAACTTCGCAAATTGAAATCGAAGATAAGATGGTGAGTAAACTTTTTTTTCGATGAGATGTAATTCTGGTTAAAGTATCAGTGTAAATGGTAAATCCTACATATTCAATCAATTACTAAACCATTCTTAAATTTTTATTTTCATTTTTACTTTTTAATTTTTAATGTGTTGATTTTGGTTAAAATTGATTAATTCAGAATGAAAGACAGGGAAATAGAAAGAAATCATTTTTCCTTTACTAAGAACTGCGAACGATATTAGTGTTCTTCAAAAAACGCCAGGACAGCATTAAGAAAACATTGCATAAAATACGGCTTAGGTGCTAATACTACTGACCAGGACTACAATGTGATTGCCAAAGTGTACTGTATGGAAAGAGTGCATAAAGGATATATATCCCATGGAAAGAATAGCAACGGGCATTTTGGATGATGAGCTTCCACTGTCGGATATGGCAATAAACATATCTTAGTAGTTTCTGATTATTTTATGAAACGGACGGAGAATTCTGCCATGCCAAACAGAATCCGTCAAAGTTGCAAAAATTTTGGTGGAAAAAAGCGATCTCTCGATTTGGAGAACCCGCAGCCTTACACTCCGATTAAGAAAGATTCGAGAGTAAGTTGTTCGTGGAAATGTGCTATTTGCTGGGCATAACGAAAATACTGTACATACCCTATTCCATCCAGAGTCTGATGGTATGGTGGAACGATTTAATCGTGCAATTAACAAAAATGCTTAAGTAATTTTGTAAATGAAAACCATACAGACTGGGATGTATGTTTACAATATGTCCTGATGGCATATCGATCTACTATCATGGTACACTGTTTTTTTTTTTTAACCAAAACTTTGATGTTAGGGAGAGAGGTCTGTACTTCTCTAGACATCTTACACGAAGTGCCCTCATGAATAAAATGAAAAAAAAGGTGAAGATAACGAACAGTGATCGATCTAAAAAAAATCTTTAAAAATACAAATCTGTAAAAATGGCATCAAACACGGACCCCTGCATTTTCCAGAGGTGAAATCAGGTGCCTAGGAGGAGTAAGCATCCCCTGCTGACCGATCACACCCGTCGTGAGCCTAATGTACTGATCAGGCAGACGGAACATTCCGTAGTCAAATTCAGTATAAAACAAAAGCCTAATAATTGGTATGAAAATTGTCAGCCAAAATACGACCCAATGATAGGTTATATTTGCTAACAAGGTCATTATAACGACCATAGATTTTACGAAATGCTGCCTTTAAATGGGATTGTTGAAATCCCTGTGACATCAACTTATCTGTCAGTAGCCTGCATATAATCAATACCACAGGATGGGTTTGGGAACTTCAATGGAAACTCGACAATGTCCATAAGATTGTCTGTTTCAATACAAACCAAGAAATGGAACGCAAAAAAGCATTATCGTGACAAAAAGTTGAAATTGGGAAATTTCCATAAAGATAATAAATTTAAGGACATGTCTTTGTTAATATCGGGACATTCAATGTAGCCATTGGTGAGGACCTTATATACTAGTAGTTATAAGGAAAATGTCTGATGTAACAGACAAGGTTAACTGTGGTCCATACGTTATAACCACGTAATCCATTTAGACAGAGTGAGACTCGCACTCAATCAATGAAAATGTTGCTGAAAGGATGTCACCAATGAACAACTGCCAGACGATGACACAAGAATCGATATTCCAATATTAATGAAAAGTCTCAAATAAAAAGATATATAGTCAGGTGTTAAGCAAAGAGGCAGATTTGCTACAAGAAAACTTCGTAGTAGACAACTACCTGTCTGGTTACTTGGATTCCGATTTTACATGACTTGCAGTAGTTTTATATAATTTTTGTTTGTTCTAGATCAAACAGTGGTGAAGACAGAGCGTGTTGATTCTAGAAAATGTGTAATGCGCCCAGTGCTCTGTCACGGAAATGGGGAGTTCTCCAGCCATGTAGTGGAGCGTGCCAAGTAAGATCGCGCACACATCTTCTCTGAATTTACTTCACAATCGCAATCGACATTCTTTGTGTGCCACAAGAAAGTGACTTGCTGGCAGGACCTGTTTTAAGAAAGAAAACAACACCTTCCCTGCCAAGTAAAACGCACCTGTTCAAGGTGACCATTCGCTTTTGCCTAGTTATGCAGTGGACAAAAGATCGAGAATGTCCACAATAACTCAGACACAGGGATGTCTTATTGGCAAGACACCAAAATTTGATGTATCTACAAAGAGATTTCTCAAAGAAAACAGTCCAGATAAAGTAAAGAAAGAGTGAAATGAAAATTACAGAGGAAAAATTCTTGTTCTTAGACTATTGATTACATCGAAATTGGTGACAAATGTTTGAAACATTTAACACAAATGGTGTTGAGGTCGTAAATACGCATACATGTATATAGTAAGAATCATGTGTTAGAGTTACATCTTGCATGAACTTATAATTATGTAAAAAATGTTATCATTCGGGACGAATTTACCGAGTTGCGTGGATAATGTATATGCAATGTTTTTGTTCTTTTAATGACTATACTTCCAATCTAAAGTAGGGACACTCAAATTATATAAAATCAATGATGGAGGAAAAAACACTAGTTAAGTTCTTTTTGATTTCGTATAAACAGGTCTGGGCGGCCTCCGTTTTGGGAGGATAGATTTGGAGATCCTCTAAAACAGAGGATAGAGGTCTCGCCACCTACCACACTTTTCAAAACAAAGGGCAGTTAACTCTAAACCAAACAAATAACAGCAACTCTTGCATTTATGAGCCGTACACTGATTTCTCAACCAAAACAAATAAAAGGTATAATTTTATATGATGATGGTTAAATCTATATATATGAAATCAATATTACATTATTTTTGTAATTTCCGTCAATCAATTATTCAATTTTCAGCTTAGTTAACAACGATTGTACCCATACCTGTCTGAGAGGTTAATTATAACCAAGCTGATTTTCCAGTACCGTAATTATGTGATTAGCAGATAAGTGGTTAAAAAAATTTGATATACTTTTTTTTGTGAAAAAATCAAGTTTAATTATTATTTCATTTAATGAATAATCCTATTGTAATATTTTTTTTAAATTTAAATATATACATATTTATGAACTTTTACATATAAAATCATGTTAATTTCTGATGAATATCTTAAATTATCTATTTCATTTATTTATGCTATTCAAATTAATTTTATTTATTTATTTTATATTTTATAATTATTCATTTAATCCTTTAATTGTTTTATAAGCTTAAATCATGAGACAGAGTATATTTTGCGTTTCCTTCTACATGTTTCCTATTCTCCTTTTTTAAATTAAAAGAAAATATGAAAAAATGAAAGTAATATAATGTTTCAGTCCCTTTTTATTTGTCTTTATAGAAAAAACATAAAAATAAAACAAAATAACAAGAAATATTAAGTGAAAAATGGAGCGCAAGAAGTGCCAACTTTGAAAGCGTATTGTCAAAATTCTAGACATAGAATCTCAAATCGCCACATACAATCGACAGTTTTATTCACATGCACTCTGGTGCTTGCACTTTTTGATTAAAGATAGGCACAAGGCGTTTGAAAATTACCTCTGTTATCCTCTGAAATCGGAGGTTTAAACTATCCCACAATGCAATGCGGTTTCCATATATGGTAAAACATTTGGCCGCCATATTGAATCTAGCTATCCTCCAAAAACGGAGGCCGCCCAGACCTGATAGAAAGTTTAGAAGAAAATTTTCAATCGGGCTCGGAAATCATTCCACATGGATTGTGTTCTTTAGTTTTACTTTCATTTTAACTTTTATGATCAGTCAAATGGAATACTTTTATGATCAGTTAAATGGAAAATTCCGAAGAAGAAACTGTTAAGAACATTCCTAGTGAAGATACAGTGTGGTTTATAGAAAGGTGTTTGGGAGGTAATTATAAGTAGCAGTCAATCCATTTATCATTGTTGTTCATTAGAAATACATTCATGTATGTACTGCACTTGTCAATCAAAAAAGTCAAGAAATGTACATTCGATTGATTTGTCACATAAAATTTTGCGAGCATGGTTTAAAATAGTCATAGGTGTGATATTAATTAGATCACAAGAAGGTTGATATGATAATATTTTCTACTCCATACACAGGGGCTTGTTCCCGGGTGTAATAATTGTTTATTAAAAATCATATACATGTACGGTAATACTATAGTTATAGTATTACCGTATATGATTTTTTAATAAATAATTATTACACGCCGGGAGCAAGCCCCTGTGCTCCATATGAAGAGTATTCTACCCTCTCGTTGCCAAAAAAGGGTTGAGGCCCGGGGTTTTCATTGATTGTTTTCATAATCTTTCAGATGGGAATGATTATCTTCAAGTTATTGATAAACATTGTAAACTCATTGGAAAGTGTCAACAAAATGTAACAAGAGATTTACCATCAGACATTCTTCAGTGCTTTATGAAAGCATGTTTATTTCCATGTAAAACACCTGTACGTCGACCAAGGCATTTAGTGCTTAGGAGTGAAACTATAGAGAAGTATGTTTAAGTGTATCAAATTAATCAAGCTGAATTAATTTCAATTAAGTTAATTTAAATAAATCTACCTTTCATGCATCTACTTCTAGATATTTTTTATGAAAAGAATATGCTAAAAAAGGAAAGTGCTTTGTAAAATTCCTACAGTGTCAGATCTTGCTTTTTTGCTCTTAAACTAATAGGATGATTTTTGTTTATTCTATGATATATCTTGATTTTATTGACATTTAACTACTTTGCAGATTCACAAAAAGCCCTTATTTAGAACAGAAATTTCACCATCTAGGTATTAATTTAGTTGGTTCAACTAAAACAGTTTCCTTAGAGGGCATTAAATGGAGGGAGTGTCATTTTTGTCACATGCGAGCTGATCAGCAACTCCTTTTTCTCTGGTAAGTATCTGTAACTCTATTTTTAATAGCATAGTTATCATCTTAGTTCCAGTGTGAGTTTAGAATTAATTTTGAATACATGTATATGTATTACAAAATGATCAAAAAAAGGGTAAATGAAATAAATAAAAATAGGCAAAAAATTAATCTAATGAAATTCACCAATGAATTAATGTACATGGTTTAAGAAGTATATTCTTTATTCAAGTCCAATGTGCCAGGCTGTGTTCTACTGTTCTACCGAGTGTCAAAGTCAACATTTACAAGGTAGCTCCTCCCAGTCTCACAGCTTTTGGTGTTCAAAGTTCCACTCTTACATGAAAGACAAAAAGATTGCAGAATTCCCATTTGAATTTTCCAAAGGTAATTTATCAAAATTGATTATTAAACGAAAGTCAGGAGTTGTCTCTCTTCCATTATATTTTCAGTCAAACAGTAGAACTAAAAATTGTGTCTTCTGTAGACATCTAAATATTAAATGATATTGCAATAAAAATATCTATCAAATACTGTAAAGCAACTATTATTGCAACAACTTTTATTCATGATTCGTCAGTTTTTAAATCCTGCAACCACTAATTTTTGCAACCTATAGAGATTGTCTATATAAATATGGTACACTATTTAAGAAACTGATTTGCAGTGAGAAATATTCATGAGTATAAGAAGGATACAAAACTCATGTAAATTTCTCTAATTTTGCTTTAAATAGAAACTTGTTCATCAGATTTTGATGAGATGCAATACAGAGAATTTCTGCAAAATAAAGGTGTATTTGGAGAAGGATGCTGGCTGAGGGAGGGACTTAATCCAGCAGATGAAGTTCAAAGATACAGTTATGGTATAAAACCTATATTATTGTTCTCTATTTTAGATTTAAAAAAACACTTTTTATGCCCCCCCCCCTCCCCCCATGAATATGGCCGAGGCATATAGTGTTTGTCATGTCCGTCTTCCTTCCTTCCGTCCTTCCGTCTGTCTTTCCGTCGCGCTTTGCATTTAGCTCTGTTCAGAGCTCAGTTTCAAAGAAACTGTCCAAGATATTTTTATCAAACTTCAAATGCTGATAGATATTGACAAGAGCTATGCAACTGCATCAACATTTTTTGACCTTGACCTTTCCTTTGACCTTGACCTCACTTTTCTTAAATTAGTGTTTAGCTCAGTTTTAAAGATACCATTCAAAGTAGTGTAATCAAACTTCATATGTTGATACATACTGATGTAAGCTTTTCAACTGCATCAACATTTTTGACCTTGACCTTTCCGTTGACCTTGACCTCACTTTTCTTTAATTAGTGTTTAGTTCAGTTTTAATGAAATCATTCAAGATAGTGTAATCAAACTTTATATGCTGATACATACTGATGAGAGCTATTCAACTGCATCAATATTTTTTGACCTTGACCTTTCCTTTGACCTTGACCTTACTTTTCTCAATTTGTGTATAACTCAGTTTTAAAGAAACCATTCATAATATTTTTATCAAACTTCATATGCTAATACATACTGATGTAACATTTTCAACTGCATCAACATTTTTTGACCTTGACCTTTCCTTTGACTTTAACTTCATTTATTTTAAATTAGTGTTTAGCTCAGTTTTAAATAAACCATTCAAAATATTTTTATCAAACTTAATATGCTGATATGTATTTGTGAGAACTATTCACCTGCATCAAAAACGTTTGACCTTGAACTTTTCTGTGACCTTGACCTCACTTTTCTAAAATTTGCATTTTGCTTAATTTTAAAGAAACCATTTAAGATATATTTATGTAAGCTTATGCACTTATACATAATTTAGTGAGAATTTATCATCTATATCCAGCTTTTTAGATTACAATTTCAATTTTAAAGAAACTATTCAAGATATTATCATCAAATTTCATACACTAATACAAATTTTCATGTTGCATTACTAATATATGATCGGCATGGCATTCATGTCCTATGGACATATTTCTAGTTTTATTTTTTATTAGATAAAGATAAAATTGAAACTGGAAAAATCTATGTACATGTATTCCAATTCAAGAAAAGTAACATCACCGTAAAATTTAAACAGTACCAGGGGTTGAAATATACAGTAGCCAGGCCCGGGGCTAGTCATTTTAAGACTCAGGCTAGCTAATTTAAATGTAAGGATAGTTCGTCGGACTAGCAGAACACAGAAAAAAATTCTTGATCGTTAGTTTACCGTAGCTTTTCTATGTAGATTGGTTTCTTTTGACTGAGAACTAATTTAATGTGTTCCTGTCACCAAAGCGTTTGACACTTTAATTTATTATGTTTTCATTTTGCATGAAAATTGTTGGGCTAGTTGGTTTGAGGTTCGGGCTAGTAAATTTTTACTGATCAGTAGCCCCTGGAGTAGTGGGTTTTTCAGAAAAATTTCAACCCCTGAGTACTGTCCAAACTCTTTGATATTTACAGGTAAATGTATGGATTTAGATAATCCCTATGTCCTACCAGTGGAATCCTGTGTTCTAGATGAACCTGTCTGTGTGGATTCTCAGTCAGCTGTAGTAGACTGGAGTTCATATTACAGGTGTAGAGGACTAGATCTGTCCTCCCCGATCGCTCTCCTGCTACAATGGCCCCTAACAGTGTTTTATATCATAAAGTACCTGTTGAATAGTTAAGTATTGAGCTCTGAATCTTATCTTTTATCACAAAGCATTGAGTAAATTCAACGATGTTCTAATCCATAATAGTTTTGCAGGGAATTTATAAATCATTCTACTTCAATATAATTTTAGTTTTAAGTACATGTACATGCATTTAATGGATTTTTTTTAAAAAATGATTATAGTTCAGAATGCTGTGAATCCCTCTGATGGCCAGATCAACATTGATATTGTTGGAGTTGAGAAGGAGGTGGAACTTATTCCAGTTTTTAAAGTAACAGTTCTGTTATAAAAATTTATAATATCTGTAATAGAAATCAGAAGTATTAACATAATATGAATTTAGAAAAGCAAAATCAATTGTCAGTAATATAAAGCTACAATATATTGAAACTCTCTTTTGTAAAATTTCTTTGATTCATACACCAAAAATTATTTATTACACATACTTTTATTTTTTTCCTGATATAGTCATTCAAAGAGCTACTAGCATAAAATATCACTCAGAAAATTTTTAAACACAAGTTTGTTTACACCATTTAAGTACATGTAGCTAAATAATTAAATGTTTTTGTTGAAGGAGCTAGGATACCTGCTCAGTGATCATGTCATCAGTATACATATGTTTGGGAAACATTTACACCATAGGGTTAAAGAGAAATCCTGGATTTTTTCCAATGTCACCATTACAGTTCACAATCAGTTTTATCATAAACATGTCTCACAAGAAAGAATTCCTAATGTCGTTATTGGTAAGTAGTTCTTTTCGATTGTAAATATTCAGTTTGATTTTATATGCAATATACAGCAAACTTTCACAGGTGATAGGTCTCTGATTAATATTGTGAGAAATGAGAAATTTTTAATGTTTTTTTTTTGAATGAACAAGTTCTATGTAGTGATCATTTCCATATTTCTTAATCATAGAAAACCATTAATTTTTGTAACTGAACATCCCTACAGTTATCTAGAATTATGTCATCTTACAGGCCTCAATGCTGGCTTAGCTGCATATTCTTCCTGGATTCCAACCATCAACAAGTTAAAGGTTTGTAACCAGTTTTAATTTTTTTCTCATAGGATACAAAATAAAACACTATAAATGTCTACCTCCGACCAGCAGGCACTTGTTTCTGAAACAAAAGTTTACCTGCTTGATATTATGGTATGAAATGAGTTTTCCAGTCAGCAAGCAATGTTTGGACTCTGTATATGCAGATTAAAGATAATTAAGGCAAACATACCATACAAGATTTTGTAGATTAATATATATATAATTATAACAGTATCATGATCCGAAAAGCTGCGTCATATCGAGTTGACAGGTGGGGATCATCAGATCGAAAGAGACGCGTTTGCGTCGAGTTTGATTTGATGATCCGCACTGTCAACGTGACACAGTTCTTGAGATGCAAGTTACTGTTATAATGATAAATTTATTATATACCCCTTTCTTATTAGCTAAATATATTAAGAGAAAACTTTTTGGATCAATTATACAACTTATAACTATTAATCAAAATACTTTTTCATGGAACTTATTGGTATGGAAGAAAATAATGTCATGTATACTGTGTACTAGGTCATCAGTTTCAGAGAGGGGTGATGTGGATCCAGAAAACTACAGTGTGGTGATCCGGAGTTGGATCACACTGTAACATGATTGCGTATAATCAACAGTAAAATTAAGCGATATACAGTGGGTATATAATTAAGTAAAAGAGATAGTAGGTAAACCCTTTTCCACTGCGTTTTCTCTGAAAACAAAAATAACTGCAGTTCTGAAGAGGGTCATACTCCATGAAATATGAAATTAAATACCTTCAGTTGTTATGGGGGTTAACATTGATTACCAACACAAGAGCCTGTGTGCCAGACTTTACAGATCTCGTGTCAGTTTTCAACCAATATTTCTTAGTTGTATTCATGTGAATCAGTTTTTAGTTTAGATGAACATTGTTCCTAAAAATAGAAATTCAAGTAAATGATTTTTAGTTTGATTTCAATAAAGCTTAGAAAACACAGATCTATATATATATACATTAATATGTACATGTAAATATCGAACTAAATTTGTTTCTCAAGTGCAATACTTTAAACTCTAGGTGTAGTCTTTTAAGAGACCTCAGGTTTTCCATTGCCTAAAATTTTTCCAGTGGATATCTATTATTAATTTGTCTAAAGTCAAATATCCTAATAGGGGAGTATACTCTTGGTTCTCAGATACGTACTTGTTGTGTCAAGTCCTTTGCTGACCCAAACGGATATTTATACTGTTATACAGAGCACTGATTTTACACTGTTATTATCTACTCTATTCATGGAAATTTCATGCCATTTTATTTTTACCCCTTTCACCCTTGTTGCAAATACGCAAATTTAAAATGGGTCAAGTTCAAAGAAGACAGTATTATATAACACAGTAGTGGGCGAATATTTGAAATGGGGCAAGATTGCAGGGGCAGAAATAACCCTGTTTACAGTAATCTGTAGTGGGCAAAGTGCACTTCCAAGTAACTTTCGCTTTTCCATTTTTGATTTGACTTGGTGTTCTCTGTATGTCCGTACTGATTACCTTTCCTTTATGTACAAGGAAAGAACTGCAGTATTACAGATTCTCTATAGTATTTTTTATTAAAAATGAGAACCAATTGGTAGCAAAGAAGTGTTAAAACAAGACTTTTGATGAACAAAAGTACAAAATATAGTTGGTTTTTTTTTTTCAAATTAAAGGGTGTATTGTAAACATTTTATCAGTATGATTTTTTTCTCTCTTAGGAGATGAAGATTCCAGCTTATTTTACAGACTACTGCAGATCAAGCATTGAATTCTCCAAGCTGATGTTGCAGGATCATTGCGGGATCAATATTTCTGCTCCTATATTAAATCCTTTCAGATCTCCAATCAGAAAAATCAGCAGTGATCATGAACTTCCATGGTTCAGCAATGCTTTTATATATTGTTTAGAATACAATTCAGGTTGATTCAATGTAATATATATTTTATTTTGTTTTCTTTTCATAAATTTTCGAAGGAGATTTCAACAATAGATGTAAAGCTCAAACTATACAGTATTATATTGTACGTTTGATGGAAGGTTAAGGCAGAAAATGATAAGCGATTATTTTCATGACATATATGCTTTAAAAGTGTTCGAAACACATTGTATATTTTACAATAAAGAGCAATGGAAGAAAACTTTATTGATAATTATCAATTATTCTGTACGATTAATTATAAATGCATGCACTTTGTGAATACTTCTGGCTTTTTTATGCCCTGAATTTGGCCAGGACACATAGTGTTTGTCATGTCCATCTTCCGTCCTTCCATCCTTAGACCTTGACCTTACTTTTCAAAAATGTGTGTTTAGCTCAGTTTCAAAGAAACTATTTAAGATATTTTATTAAACCTTTATATATGCTGATACAAAATGGAGACAGCTATTCAACTTCATCAACATTTTTTGCCCTTTCCTTTGAACTCGACCTCACTTTTTTAATATTCCTGTTTAGGTAAGTTTCAAAATATTTTTATCAAACTTCATATTAATGAGAGTTATACAATTGAGAAAACATTTTTGACCTTGACCTTCCCTTTGACCTTGACCCATTTTTCTTTAATTTGTGTTTAGTCTGTTTTAAAGAAACCTCAGTTATCAAAAATTTGTGATTAAACTATTCAAGATATTTTATCAAACTTCATAGGCTTTTACATATTGATGAAAGCTATTGGTTTTTTACCCTGACCTTTCCTTTGACCTTGAACTCACTTTTCTTTTTTTGCATTTAGCTCAGTTTCAAAGAAATTATTCTAAGATATTTTCATGTAAGCTTATGAATGATACAATTTATCAACTGTGTAATTTTTTTTTTACCTTGACACTCCAAATAAAATTTGACATTAATATTCATTGTGTATAAAACTCTGTTTTAAAGAAACTATTCAAGATATTTTCATCAAACGTCATACATAGCTAATACAAATTTTCATGTTACATAACTTAAGAACCATGGGCATACGTCTAATTTAAATGGTGGAATAGAGATGGAAAAAAAAAGGAAAAGCTGAAACTTGTATCGGGCGAGGCAAAGTTATAAAACAACCCAATGATAATGCTGGAAAGCTTAAAGATAAGGCAAAGAATCGATAAAAAAAACTTTGATTTACTTGTCACAATTACAAGGAATATAGGGCCTACGCTACATTATAGTACCGTTATCTGCATTGTTCAGCGCCTGTCATATTTGTTCACCTAGTCTGATACCTTTCTAACAATTCCGTTTGCGCGATTGCTCAATGTCAGAGAGCTAGAACGGATTTGTGAGGTACTGTAGGTATCGGATAATTGGTCACCGCACGTGACGGCCAATATGGAGCAACATGCCCGGTGTTATGATAGTAGTTAAAACGACACGGTACCAAATTTAGCAGAATGGTCCAATGAAAGCAAGATATATCGTTATTAAAGAATTTCTATCAAGTGTTTGCTTTAATAATCTCAAAATATTAAATCTGTTACAAGCTTTTTCGTAAATAGCAGAGATATGGTTATTCCAACTACCATCGGACTGAAGGTGTAGCCCTAGATGTACATGTATATGGCTACTGGATTGTTCAATAATGTCCCCATTTCCTCCAAAATGTCTGGAAAAAGTCGCTGCTTTCTTGTAAAATTAACATTAATTGTTTTATCAGCTTTAAAATCTACAGCCCAAGAGTTCGTCCATTTCTTTATTTTTACAAGATCGGCTGTAAGAGACAATGTAGGAGTAATAATATCGGCGTCTACTATAGCAAACAATGATGTTTCCGCAAATAAACGGATACCATTATGTACTAGTATGCCTTCGGTTATATCATTAATGTATCTTAAGAATAAAAATGGGCCTGGCAGAGATCCCTGGGGTACTCCTGCATCAACAGTTTTAAATGTTGATGAAAAACCTTCAATATTTACTTTTTGTTGCCTGTCAGTAAGGTAATCTTTCATCCAGCCCAAAATATTATTTTGGAAGCCTATTTTTCTCAAGTTTAAAGATAAGTCCTTTGTGCCAAACCCTGTCAAAGGCCTTTGAAATATCATAGTTTTTTATAAGTTGAGAGGCCAGTTTTATTTTATAATCATTTCGAGCTTTTCGTACTAAGTTGACTACTTCGTTACGAATTCCTCTAAATTTTTGCCAGAGAACAGGATTATCTGTACGTTTTGCTTCATAATGTCTACTATTTCTTTTCCTCATTTTCCTACGAATTGCATTTGTAATAAAAGGTTTGTCAGAGGATCAAACAGTTATGACCTTTGTAGGGATATACTTCTCAACATAGTTCATTAATTTTAAATTAAAATTAATATTCACTTCACTAATATTCTCACAATTGAACACAGCCTCATCCCATTTAACTTGTTTTAAGTCGTCGTTTAAGCTTTGGTAATCGGCTGAATTATAGTTTGATACAAAATGCTACAATTTTAAACATTTTTTCCTAAAAACTTGTTATCTCTGGGTCATCTCTCCATGATTTTGAAACGTTATTTGAGTGCATTTTAATTCAAAGATACTAACAAGCATTAGTATAAAAAAAAATGGAGAACAAAAAAAAAATCCAACGTGTACATGCGGTCCTCGTTTTAAAAAACCCGTATAGTGGCTATAGCGGTGATAGCTCAGTAGTATGCGTTTTCCGTCCAGTGCAAGGAAAAAGAGAAAAAATTTGGTTCGATCCGCAAGGAGCGTTAAAATTTTTTTTTTGAAGTACAATCAATCATTTTTTTTATCCGTTTAAATTCATGTACTGATTTATTTTCAAATAGATATATTCTGGTTCTGTTGCACCGAGAGCGACAGTAATTCTTCCAACCTACTGATACTAACTTTAATATACTAACTTTAATATACACATGTACTTGTAATTCCATTTAACTATACCCTATCATCTTATAGGTGTTTATTATTTATGCGAAGCGTTACTAAGTTATACATGTAGTAATTATTAAGATAAGCGGACTTAAATATTAAATTTGACAAAGTATTTCAAACTAAATGTAACATTTTCCCATGTGCTTAACTTTGTAAAGTATGTCCAGCTGTTGTCAGCCGACCAAATCGTATGCATTTAAACAATAAATGTTTCGTACGCATTATTCCTGCAAATAATGTTAACGGTTGTGGCTGCAAGCTATTTGTTAAGGTGCCCTACAGTTTCCGTGCATTTCTCTCAACTTAATACATCAAAATCAGGCTGTCGTGTATTATAATTATTACAACAATCTGGCTCGAATCTGGTTCTGAGTAAAATTGTCTCAACTTTCATCTGCAAGCAAATTCAACCATAAATCAACCTAAGTTCAAACCATTTTCAACGTCTATTCCACGTTGATATTTGACGTTGAAACAACGGTTGAGGTCTCAACATTGCCTCAACTTTCATATGCAACCAAAATTCAACGTTGGTTCAACGTTGAAATACCTGCTGGGACACCAATTTAAATTGTTTTTATTAAGACTAACACGTTAACCACCACGCTACAACTTCTGACAAATTGTGGCAATTAAGGACATACGCAACGTAGTTTGAACTCTATTGTCTTTTTCCCTGGAGTTGAAGAGTTCCAACTCTTGAAGGAACGGTGTGCTACATTTTAATGTCTATATATGGTTTTGTACACTTCTTCTAAAACAAATTTGGATAAACAAAACATCTAGAATATACGTTTAATATTTTTTGTATATTTTTCTTTAAATTATACAAGAATTTTCATCAATTGATATCTTTTCAAGACCCTTGGTAATACATGCTAATTTTTTGTCTACGAACATCTGATGGCACTATATTCTTATATTAAGAATATCTTGAAAAATTATCAGTAGGTAAGGTACGTTGCGTATATCCTTAAATCATGCATGATATTTGACTTAATGGACTTGGAATAATTCTCGGAAATACAGTATAATACAAGTATACAAGTATAATACAACATTGTAAAGTTTGTAAATGTGACCTTGAACTTGCCAAAAAAACTTGATTATAAAAAGATGCACATCTTCTGATCATAAGTAATCTTCTATCAAAATATGGACATTAAATGTTTCTCTGTTAATTATTATCAATTAATCAAATTATAGATCTGTCATGAATTTTATACTTTTTTTTTTACCAGTGACCTAGAATTTGCCACAGTGAGCTTGGGTCAAGGCTATGGCACACACTCAGGTCATAACTAATCTGTGTACAATGTATGAGCTTCTAATGATTTGCCAGTCCAAAGTTATAGTCTAAACAAGAATTTTATGCTTTTTCTGCCAGTGACCTTGAACTTGCAGGAATGAAACTTGGTCAAGGTCATGACACACCATCAGGTCATAAACAATCTTTGTACCAGCTCTGAGCTTCCATTGATTCTCTAAGGGGCAGAGAAAACATTTAGAGAATTTATGCATTTTCAATAACTATAAAGCTCTGCCCTAACATTAGAACTCCTGGGAGCCAAGAAATTGAAAATTTTAGTGGGGGCTCAATGCTTATTACAATTACGCCAACAGTTTGACTGCTTGCTGTCTGGGAGTGAAAAAGGATAATTTTTAAAGATAGCACTAATTTTGCCCCCCCCCCCCCCCCAGAGCAGGGACACTGAAATTCACTATTTTTGTACCCCTTCACCCATTGAAATCTGGATGAAATAGGTTTTAGGGTTCAAAAGAAGTAGCTGAAAATGTTCAAAACATTTACAACTGACCAATGGACGAGTGACTCAGGTGACACAAAGAAGAGGCCCACGGGCCACAATGCTCACCAGAGTAACTACAGCCATTCTATTCTTCATCATCAGATTCTTTTTCCTACATATTCTTATGAAAAACTTTAATCAATGTTTTTGGGCCCACCCTATCCCCTGGGTCATGATATAAACAAATGTGAATCTACACTACCTGAGAATGCTTCTGTATTAATATGACTAACAATGGCTTTGCAGATCGTGAGAGATGATTTTTTAAAGATATTTCCTATATATTCCTATGTAAAACTTTGACACCCTGTTGTGGCCCCGCCCTACCCCATGGGGCATGATATGAACAGAAATGAGTCTACACTACCTGCGACTGATCATGGCTTTGCTGTTCTTGAGAAGATTTCTTTAGTTATTTTCTACATATTCTATGTAAAACTTTGACCCCCTGTTGTGGCCCCGCCCTACCC